AACATAAATTTAAGTAGAGACAGGAAATTTATCAGCGTTAATGTACAAATATTTCATTGATTGATTACGAAGTAAACAACTCGGAGAATTGCCGAAAGCGGGGTGGACGGATTCGAACAATTTATGAATGTTCGTGGCTGATAATCGCGGATGCCAATTAGGCCACAAGTCATCAAACGGTTCTTTCCTTCTTGCAATTCATTTCGACGCGGAATTCAGGCATCGTCTTCTCAAGAAGGGGGAAACTGTAACAAATATGCACCATGAATATAAGATTGGCAGTCATTCGGTGTGGCTGCAAAACTTCTGAATGAGCTTTCTTCAATAAGGGATTCAAACCAAATTTTATTTGATACGTGTCACCACGAGAAACTCCAATCAATCTGTTATTGAAAATAGGTGAAGTGCGATTCATTTGTTAGATATAATAGGTCAAGCCGATTCTGGTTCTGCGATCTTATTCTGCCATGGATTCTGGTGACTTTACGCGCCTCAGTTTGTCATTTAGATAGACTTGAGGTGTTGAGGAAGAACTTACGCATGCATTTTCAACATGACGTTATTTGTGGAGAGCTGATTGTGAGTATTTGGTGGGCGAACCTCAAAAATCATATTTACCAAGCGATGAATTTTTCCGTTGGTGTTGCACCATTAAATCAACATTCCGATAGGCCTCTATCAATTGAATTCTTTTAAAAGCCCGTAGATTTTATTTATTCAAGTGATTTTTATTGAGTATTTCAGCAAAGTATCCGGAATAGTCGCGTTGATTTGTGTGATTTTGTTGCACTGACTGAAGGACCAAAAAGCCAGGTGAAGTACAATGCGTTGGATGAGTTTAGTGTGAACATACGGCAGTGTTACCTCGAATCACATGGATAGATCAATATTCATATGAGATATATGATGACGATGATTGGATAGTGATGATTCTGTTTGTAATGTTTGCTCGCATACAAGTATAAGTATTTTATACACCTATCAATCCAGTACCTGTTTATTCAACATTCTATTCTTACTCTTTGTTGATCGACTATTCAATTTCCGTTACTCTACTTTCGTNACATAACTGCAAATCAATCACAAACACATACGTTCTTGTTATGTCAATATCTCGAAATGAGAAACACATGAAAAAACATCGCTTTCTTGATAGGTGCAGTTAAACATTGAGGCAAACCAACTCTCCAGCAATCGACAGTCATTTAATGTACTCTGTCACATTTAGACATATAGATATTGCAATTTAGCAGTATATCCTAGCATTCCAATTCTAAGATATCGCCGCATTTTGTCATTCATTGTTTTGAATCATTTTAGTTGGTTCTGCAATCCAACAATGCATTCAGAATTATTATATGATTGTTCTGATATAGCTGTGTGCCTCGCCTGTTCCACACGATCGCATACGATATGCGAAAGAAGTGAGGGTCGATTTTGTAGTTAGTGTTGATTTAAATTGCGAATTAGTTCATAAAATTTTTGATTTTCAAAAGGGCTCCAAAAATGTTCTTGAACATCCCGAAGCGATCTCGTCGTCTCACAGTGGAGGATTTTGCTTCTCGAACATTTATCTCAAATTACGATAATTTAGCTGAATTTTAGTTGTATATGTGATGAAAAAAATAATTGTGTTGAACTGGTGTAGAGATTTGTCGCAAAATGAATATCTTTGCAATGAATATTGATGTGGAGATGCGAATAACGGCTATGTAACGGATTTGTACTGTGGAGAACGTCGTTCTGAGAAGCGCAGTTTTTGCGATCGATGCAAGAAATGTGACAAAAATTTCGAGTTCGGTTGATTAATCTCGAGAGAATCGACGATGTGGCATGAAAACACAGCATTTCGATTGATGCCAAGTTAAGTGAGAGGAGTTGCATGTGAATTGCAACAGAAAAAAGAATCAATCGTTTGATGCGATATAACCGTCAGCTTCATTCGTCCACTTCGACCAGATCTCAATATTTTCATTCACTACCACCGTATTTTTCATTTTTCCTCTAAACATGTTGAGCGCTTAAGAAGTTATTTGAATGGAACTCACGTGTACACGGAATAGCTGGAAAGGAAATGGCGAATGTTCGAATGAGTTGTCGCTCTTACAAATTGCATCCTCAGAATGATTTATCTCTTGAAGCGAGCAGTTTATAGTGGAAGGAATTTTCTCGCCAGCCTCTTAGTCACTGATTTATCCAGCGTTATCGCCGTTTGTTGATGATTTCGCTTCTTCAACTGAACGATTTTTGGTCTTTTTCAAATGTGCAAATTCTTCAGTCTCAAGTTTTTCAAACTTTCAATTCCCACCGATGAGTTATCGTGAAAAACGAGTAATTGTGAAATTTAAGTGCTACCATCTTCGTGATTTCATGAGCAGTCGAATTTATGTTCAGTGGCTGTGGTGACGGTAAATGTGACGTGATGCAAATGTATGAGGGCAACTCTCCATCTGGAGCTTTGACGCTTATTGTCATTGCTGCAGTTGCGATTGGAATCGGCTTTTTGACGATCATTTGCACACTCATCAGCGTAACCCGAAGTCGCCGAAGTACACGTCGATTACAGGTAATCATATGGTTGATTATCACCTAATTTTTGACCTAATGTCGCCATTGCAGTTCGCAGTTTCTGCTTCACTATATTTTATAATTCAATATTTCACATTGAACAGCAACCAATGCGAAATGGTTTCGATTGTCTTTTGTAAGGGTGTCACTCTTAGTTGAGTAAATGCTCTGTTAGCTGTTCAGAATACGTGAACCAATTCAATACATCACAGCAAATTGAAACAACACGAATTGCTACTGATAATCGTTGCGTTATGATTTTTTAAAACCCACATTTCCTGTGTACAACCCTCAAAAAGATGTCAACAACAGCCATGGATCAATTGTCCGTGAGATTTGCGAGCTTAAGCGCACATAATGACAGCATTCGTGAATTTAGCCACAAATCATTGCTCGCTCTCATAGTGGTTACATTTGAATGAAGTGTGTCCTTTCAGTTTTCACTTTCTGAGCATATACACAAAGCTGTCACACCATGCTTAAGTTTATAAGACGTTCTTGATTCAGTTAAAATTGTCAAAATTTTTCTCGAAACTGAACCATTAATATATGCTAGCTTTCGAAGCAGAGTGAGAGTGTGATTCACTGCAATGAATATTGGAGAAAAAACAATTTTTTGATTGGCAGCAACTGAATTTCTTCATTCAGTTCCTTCTGATACATCCATTGTCAAGTTGCATTGCATTTTATTCGTGTTCTTTACTCTTCAACTTGTAAAAGAGTCCTTGCACTGTGACAACCTCAGAATATCATCAGATCATTATTTTGTTTTATTGACACAATCAATTTACAATACTCAAAAAATGTTCATTGCAAAAAAACTGATGCTGTGAAGCGAGAAGGTATGAGGATCCTTATTGTCAATGTAAAATGATATGTAAATATTGGTTCAGAATGTTTGAATAAGCACCTAGCACCAACACTGCTATTACCATTTCCGCTTTTTAGCAAATATAAGTTTAACGAAACCTTAGTATTCTATCAACTTCGTAAAATTCTAATAAAATGATTATTGATCATACCAGGCAACGGTCGAGTGTTTTGCTCATAAGCCTGGTTCGATTGTTGCTGTACCTGAACGGACAGTAGCGTACAAAAAATATCTCACTTACACAATCCAGGCAACTTTCTAGAACCCTCCTGGACACATTTTTGCAAATTTTATGTCTTCGCCTTGTGCGCGAGCCTCAGTTTTTCTGATAGTTTGATCGCATAATCAAATTATAATCGCCTTGAATTGATCAGCATTTCCTGTCCGATCATGCAAATCAGTTGGTGGAAACCATAACTATCATTGTGAAAAAAAAAACAATTCACGTTGAAAAGCAGCTAATTACACGAGAATAATCAGCGATAATTGCAGACAATATCTCCGGAACGTGTAGTTTCACCAGGTGCATGTGCATCACTGAATCAACGACTACCGTCGTTAAGAGGAGACAGTTATCGCTACATCGCAAGCTCTGTTCACGAAACGAATTTGCCTCCTCAGCAACAAACACCAAAATCATTTGTGCCTATTGATGATGCCCCACCACCAACTTATGAAGACGCCATACAAATGGCCATTCAAGAGAGCCTCAGGCATTGTGAACACGAAACCGCCCAGCAACCACACTCGACGGTTCAGCAAAG